ATATCACTAAAGAATCTTCAGAAGCTCAAAAATCGCGGATTTTAACTCACAACATCTCACATACACTGAGGTTCTAGAGATTCTACTAACACAATAATAAATTCAACAAGTAGAATCAGTTTCACTTAACAATTTAGCTTAGGAACAACTTCGAAACTGAGAAAAGTTCAAAACTCAATCAAATTCGATAAAAAGTTTTAAACTTGGAAGAAGTAAACAAACCTGAGTATCGATTCCAACAAGTGTATGTTGAGGAACATCGAGAAAGAGAAGCGTAGCTCCATGCTTCACAAGCTCTAGTGCCTTCTCAGAATCCATAGCTTCCTTCTTCTTCTTCTCTTCGCTAATTTGCCGTCGATCAACAATAAGAAAGAACATCAATTAGAAAGGCCCAATAAAGAAGCCCATTAATAAATTGGGCCTTTGAAGCCTGGCTCAAAACGCGTGGCAACGCGCGATTCACGCGGTTTACTTTCTCAACCGACATAAACGTTTATTTATAGAAAATCTATCTGCTTGTCTCTTCAGATTCGTTTTATTTTTCAATCGTTTCAATTTCTAAAAATTCTCCTCTTTCTCAACGCAATCACCAAATCCAAATTTAGGGGTTTTTTTTTTCTCATTCTTCGATCGATCTCTGGAAACTTGTTGAATCGCGAAGATGGCATCAAACGGATTCTTCTCTGCTCAAAGAAACGCACACCGTAACGCAAACGCTGGAACAACGTTGAAGAGACGAATCGACAACAATCGCGGTTACGGAATCGGAGATTTACAAGAGGAAAGGAACCGTTACGTGCCGCCGCAAAAACGTTTCAGATCGCAAACGCAACCGCAAACGAATTTCCGATCTGGTCATATTCCTCTGTATCATCATCATGGTAGAAATAATAATAACATGTCTAGGGTTTCTTCTCAATCATATAACAATTACGGTGTTGATGTGATTGCTTCTAATTCAAGTTTTCCATTACGTAACAATGATTCTAACATCAACAATTATCAGAAACCCTTTATTGTTGGTTATGGAAACCCTAATCCCCAAATTGTTCCTCTTCCATTACCTTATCGTAAGCTTGATGATGATGATTCGTTGCCTGAATGGGTTCCGAATTCAAGAACCCTAACTCCGAATTTTGTACCAAACACTTATGTTCAAAATCCGATGAATCATTCGAACATGGTTTCAGTTGTGTCACAAACGATGTCTCATCATCAACCAATTGTTTTGAGCAAAGAATTGTCTGATTTACTTAGCGTTCTTAGGAATGAGAAAGAGAAGGAAACTTCAGAAGCAAGTAAAAGTGATTCATTGCCCGTTGGATTAAGCTTTGATAATCCATCGTCGTTGAATGTGCGACATGAATCTGTGATTAAGTCTCTGTATTCGGATATGCCGAGGCAATGTTCGTCGTGCGGGGTTAGGTTTAAATGTCAAGAGGAACATAGCAAGCATATGGATTGGCATGTAAGGAAGAACAGGATGGCTAAAACCACTATGAGATTGGGCCAGCAACCGCAGAAATCGCGGGGATGGTTGGTAAGCGCATCTTTGT